TCTGAGAAGAAGAGACAATCCTCCTCTGATGGCCCCCAGGCACCAAAGAAGAAGCCCAAAACCACCAACATTGAACTCCAAGGAGTCCCTAACGATGGTGTGTGGGGGCTGCCCTGGTTTTAGTGCCTGTTCTGCATCTTGAGGGGGTTTAGCTGGGTCTGGAGAGCAGAAGTTTCACAGATCTTGCCTTAAATTTCTCCTTCCTTTGAAGTGTTTTCTTACAACAGTTATTAACAGCCAGGAACTCTGCAAGTTTGGGATGAGTTAGGAATCCTGGAACTGCAGGATCTAATTTGTGCAGTTCCTGGGTTGTTAAGGGACTGTGGACCTAAAGGAGCCTTGATTTTGGGTGATCTTGTGTGATTTTAATGTATAGAATGAAATTGTGGGATCATGGAATCATTTAGGTTGGAAAAGACCTCAGTGTTGGAGTCCAGCACTGCCAGGGCCACCACTGACCCACGTCCCCAAGAGCCACATCCACATCCTTGAAATCCCTCCAGGGTATGGGAAGGACTGGTTTGGGTGGGAAGGGCCCTTAAAGATCCCTCCACACCCAGCCCCGTGTTCAGCTCCCCTGGCTCAGGAGTTCCTGGGCCTGACTCATGGATTGTGGAATCCCAGAGTGGTTTGGGTGGGAAGGGACCTTAAAGCCCATCCCATCCCATCCCACCCCCTGCCACAGGCAGGGACACCTTCCACTGGGCCCTCAAGCCCTGTGGCCTCCCAGAGTGGTTTGGGTGGGAAGGGACCTTACTCCCAGGGCCATCCTCCCACCCCCTCCCACAGGCAGGGACACCTTCCACTGTCCCAGGTTGCTCCAAGCCCTGTCCAGCCTGGCCTTGGCCACTCCCAGGGCTGGGGCATCCTTTGGAAATCCACCCCAGCCCCTCCCCACCCTCCCAGGGAGGAATTCCTTCCCAACATCCCATCTCACCCTGCCTTCAGTGGGAAGCCATTCCCCCTTGTCTTTCCCTCCATGCCCTCATCCAAAGCCCCTCTCCAGCTCTCCTGGAGCCCCTTTAGAACCCACCCCCCCAAATTTCCCCGCTCTTTGCGCGCTGACCCATCTCGAGGGATAACTCACCCCGGAATCCCGGTTTTTTTCCCCCTCCCAGAAGTCCACCCGCTGCTGGGCGTGAAGGGAGATGGTAAATCCAAGAAGAAGCAAGCAGGCAGGCCTAAAGGATCAAAAGGTAAAGACAAAGATTCTCCATTTAAACCGAAACTCTACAAAGGGGACAGAGGTGCTTTACCTCTGGAAGGAGCAGCGAAGGGTAAAGTGCAGGCGGAGCTGGGACAGCCCTTGACAGGTAAGGAACCAACCTCAGCACCCCTGGCTTGCTTGGTGGCCTTGCTTTGTGCAGCCCCCTCAGTCCTTAGAGGTGTTTTTAGCTCCCCCTCAAATGGCACTTTGCTCACTCAGTGTTTGGCTGCTGTCAAGGAGAGGCAAAATTGGACCTTGGGGTGAAGTGGAACTGCTGTCAGGATTCGGGGGGAAAACGATGCCTCGGGTAGGAAGAGCTTTAGGAGGGGTTCAGGGGAAGTTTCCAGAGGATAAAAAATCATTTGGTCTCTTCAATAACTTCCATCAGCTCTTGCATAAACAGGAATGACGTGGTTTGGGTTGGTTTAGGGGGAGAAATGTAACTGGTGGAGGGTTCTGAAGCTGCAGTTGGCACTTTGTGCCACCAGTGCCAGGCAGAGGGACAGGGAACAGAGAAATGCCACAAGGAAGGAGGGAAAGGAGCATCACTGATGGTCTGTTTGATAAATGGACCCTGAGACAAAGCCCAGGAGCTGAATTTTCTGATCCAAGCTGTACAGCAGCCTCATTTAAACTGCAGAAGGCACAGTTGCTGTAGGTCAGGACAGGGTTGGGGGGGTTTTCCCCCCTTTTTTGCTTTTTGGTTCTATTTTGTTGGTTGTGTGCTAAAGCAGGACAGTTGCAGTCGCCTTTGTTGGGGCCCAGACTGAGTCTGAGAGGCACTCAAGTGTTTCCCCTGGTCTCATTTGCCTCTTTTCTGGGAAAAGCTCATCCAAGCCCAGCACAGAAGGCACAAGTTTGGCTCCAGCGACGTGGAATCCATTTATTTTTAGATTTTAATGAAGAGCTCAGGGTTGAAATACGAGCAGCTTCAAAGGCACAGTGGAATTGATACATCAAATTTTGCATTTCCTTGAACTCAGCAGCTGCTGCTGTGGATTTTTAGAGTGTCCAGAAGTGATTGATTCCCCCCTTTCCTTCCCTCACTGCTGGTCCTATGCTGCCCACCCTGCTCCTTGTCCTTCCTGCTCAGCTCCTCACTGTTGCTTGTACTGGTTCTGATGATGATGTGCTGTAACAGGGAATGGGATAAAAGGGATGAAAACGGGATAAAAGAAACCTGGAAAAACGTGGGGGATGTTTCCTGGGCTTCCATTTGATCCCTTTTCACTGCAAAATGCAGGAGTTAAACAGCCCAGGGCAGCCTTGGGAGGGGCTGAGGAGCTGCTGGTGGCAGATCCACTGGCAGGGGGTGACTCTTCTGAATTCCCAGCTCGGGAAGGGACATCCAGCAGTGTCAGAGGATGACAGGGATCATTCAGGAAAGAGTTGCTTTATCTAGAAAACCTCGTTCTCCTTCATTTTTTTTTCTGGCAAAGCTGCCATGTTTGGTGCTCTCTGTTTTCTGGTAACCCCTGTGTGGGGCTGGTCACTTATTTTCCCCCTGTCTCTGATCTCTTTAGCAGGTGGTGCAATCTCAGAATTGTTGTGAAGACCCTCCTTTACCCTCCTGTACTCTTTCCTCTGTTGGCACCCCAATGTGGAAATGGCTGGAATGCTCAGTCAGAGGGCCTGGCAGAGCCAGCACTGACTGCTCCTGGATCCAGGGAGTGACTGTGGGCAGGAATGGCTCTGGAAGAGGCTGCTCTCCGTGGATCAGTGGGGGATGTTGGCTCAGGTCGTGCCATTGGAGAGGGACTCGTTGGACTGTCCTGGTGGTGACAAACCCTGCTGTCCCCCCCTGCCACTCCAGAGCTCCCCAGCCTTTGTCTAAATCCTTTTCTTCATTCCTGGACTGAGGAACACCCCCAGTGTGTGTTTTTACTCCTGATGTGACTGTGTATCCTGCAAACTGCCCTTTCCTTGCTGGGAATTCTCCTTTGGAGTCCTGTTATTCCTGCCCAGCATTCCCAGGAGCTCAGTGCTCCCTGCTGACCTTCGTGCTGCTGCTGCTGCTCCTGGGCCAGGCTTTGGGGCATCTCCAGTGGAGGGACATGGATGAGAAGAGCCAGGACACCTCTGGAGTCTGCAAAGGCTGAGCCTTCACTGGGTGGATATTTTTGAGACTCTGCTGGTGGGAGAAGGAGCAAGTGAAAGGAGCTCTCCATAAAATATTCAGTTGATGTGTTTTCTCCCAGCCTGTGATACCAAAAGCTGTGTTGGCAGGTTCTGTCTGTCCTTGCAAGTGTTTTTATTCCCTTCCCTGGGAGGTGCCCTGCCAGAAATAACTGGGTTCCTCCTTCACTGCTGGGGACTGGGAGAGGGTTAAAAACAGAACCAGGATTTCTCTCAACTGAAACAGGGCTTTTTCAAAGGGGTTTTCTTTTTTTTTTCCCCACTTCTGGGTTAAAAATGGAAGAAAGGTGGATGCTGACAGCTCATTCCAGCCATGCTCTAACCTTTTATTCCTTAAGGACAGTTGGAATATTTTCCTTGGAGGAATGGGAAGAGGCACTTTCTCTGTCAACACCCACAGCCTGAACCTCTTGTACTCCACCAACATCCTGGTAAAAGGAAGTTTTCCTTCCTAAGGACCCTCCTTTCACAGACTTTTATAGCTCCTATGCAACACTTTCAGTTTTTCCCCAGTGTAATTATTGGGATTATCATGATTATTTAAAGTATCAGAGTGTCCTGCAGACATTAAAACCAGGGAGTCACAAAGAGATTGATTCATTTGCAGCCAGAAATGTGCAGTGGCTGCCTGGGGATGAGGGGGAGACATTTTGATTCAGAAGCTTTTTAAAAACTGTCATTTTCATTTCCAGCTTTGGTACATTTTGCTTCATTTAATGGAATTTGTCACCAACGAGTACAATATTAGTTTTCTTCGTTCTTTTCTGCTCGTGGGATGACTCTGATGTGTCAAATCCACCAGTGTTTGGTGTGCCTGACCCCCCCCCCAAGCTTTAAAAATGCACAGCTCGTGGTTTGAAGCATTTGATTTGCCCCAGACTGAGCTTTCCAGGCTGGTAAAGCTTCTCTGTACAGTGTAAATGTCCTGGGTTTATTTTTTTCCTGTCAGCTCTATAATTTTATTTTCTGGTCTCTGGAGCTTTGTACAGTATTTGTCAGGTGCTGGCTTGGTGGTAGAACAAGGTGTCAGGTTGGTGTTTGTAAATAAAGAGGTACCTTTTCATTTCCTAAAATCTCGAGGGTCGTGGTGATATTTGGGAATCCCACAGCCCAGAGGGGAGAGCTGGGTGAGCAGGGCACCTCCAGGGACATTGGGTGTGGAAAATGCAGCTCCCCAGAATTCCTCATTTTAAGTTCAAGGGCATCAGGAAGAGAAATGTGTGGATTTATGGGGAAGGGCTTGGCAATCCCAACGTGGGCAGCCCGTGGGTGGGTTGGTGAGGGTGGGGATGATCCTTGGTCAAGGTTCTGTGGCCCAGAAAACTGGGAATGACCCCATGAAACCCAGGAACTGTGGGGTTTGTGATGAAGCAGTGCATTGTTCCTTTGGGATGGCCGAGCTCCAGGTGAATCCCACTGGGATATCTCCTCTCCAGGCAGGGTGGGAGTGGCCTCTGCCTTAGAGGAACGTGAGGATTTTGGGCTCAGATCCCTTTGGAGTGGTGGCTGTGACAGAGCAGGGGACACCCCTCTGATGGGGGGTGTCCAGAGCCTCACGTGGTGCTTTTGGATCCTCATCCCAGAGGATTTGCTTTGCCTTCCCTTTGTTCCTCCTCGGAATGTTTGGGGCTGTGACATCAGCTCTGCTCCCCTGGCAGTGGATCTGGGTGTCACCAGAGGCAAACCCCTGCCCAGACTGCCTTGGATTTCGGTGGATCAGAGTGTCTGGAGGTTGGAATGCTGGGTTTGAACTGGGGGAGTGCTTTAGGCTGGGGGATGTGTGGGTAGGTCAGAACTGGACAGGTCCTGCACGAGGAACTGGGGTTTCCTCGTGCTCCACAGCATTAGTTTAAAGATTCCTGCAGTAATCACCTCTGTCATCCTGTAGCTTGGTGGGAAAATTAAAGTGGAGCTTCTTTACAGTGGAAATTTGCCTGAAAAGGCACAGAAAGTCTTGCAGAGAAGGGAGAACATCATCTCCTCTCAGCTATCAAATACACCCAAATTGCTGGAATGTGCTGGATGGGAACATTCCTGCCCTGCTGAAGGAACTGGGATTCCTGACTCACATTCTGGGGGGCACAGGAATGGGTTGCTGGGTCTCTTTTGGCAGTGCTGTGCTTCCAGCCTGGCAGGATCTCTCCTGGTGGAGGGATCTCTCCTAGGGGAAGGATCTCTCCTGGTGGAGGGATCTCTCCTAGGGGAAGGATCTCCCCTGGTGGAAGGATCTCTTAGTGGAAGGATCTCCCCTGGTGGAAGGATCTCTTAGTGGAAGGATTTTCCCTGGTGGAAGGATCTCTTAGTGGAAGGATTTTCCCTGGTGGAAGGATCTCTTAGTGGAAGGATCTTCCCTGGTGGAAGGATCTCTTAGTGGAAGGATCTCCCCTGGTGGAAGGATCTCTTAGTGGAAGGATCTTCCCTAGTGGAAGGATTGAAGATGGTGCTGGTGGGATTTCAGAAACACTGAGTGTGAAGATTCACAGAGGATGCTTCTGGGGGGTGTTTTGGCTGCTGAATTCAGGTTGAGGAGCTGCCATGAAGCCCTTGGAGCAGAGCCACGTCCCCGGGCTGGTGCTGAGTGCCCTGTGTGTCCTGGCCATGGTGTCCCCGGGCGAGGTGCCCGTCCCGGGCGAGATCTCGGAGGAGATCCTGGAGAAGCTCAGGACGTCGGTGGCCAGGATTGCTGTGAACTCCACACCCTGCAGCGTCACCTGCGGGCCAGGCCTGAAGGTGGAGGAGCTGTGTGAGGTGACCCCGGCCGGGGAGAGGAGGAACTGCTCCCTGGTCAGCTCCTACTGCCTGGGCACCTTCCTGTGCGGGCTCCGGCACCTCACCGTGCCCACGGGGCAGCCCCTCCAGCTGCCCTGCCTGGCCCCCGATGCCCCCAGGCCGGGCAACCACAGCTACAGCTACACCTGGGAGCTGGCCCGGGGCCTCATCACCACCAACGACCTCCTGTTCGAGCCCCTGAGGAACTCCAGCCCCGCCTTGAGCTTCTCCCCCGCGCGGGAGGCGCACGCCGGGACCTACCGGTGCGACGTGCGGCTCCGGGGCACCTCCAAGCCCATCAAGAGGGTCTACTTTGGCCTCAGGGTCATCCCTGGAGACCTGGTGGGGCTCAGCTTCCAGCAGTCCCCGACCTGGGAGCAGAAGCTGGAGGGGAGCCTGAAGGAGGGGAGCGCGGGGAACGGCAGCCGGGAAGGGCGGGAGCGCTTCTGGGAGCAGGAGGAGTTCTACGAAGCTGTGCTGGGAATTGGCAGCGGAGTGCTGGGGGCCATCCTGCTCAGCCTCCTGCTCTGCTGCTGCCAGAGGCTTTGGAGAAGGAGAGGAGCAGAGAAATGAAGGGAGATTCCTGCAGTTGTTTGTATCTGTCTCTTGATTGGTGTTAAGGGGGAACTCGGGGCGTGGTTCTTGGGGTGGTCTCTGTAGGGCCACGGCTGGACTTTGGTGATCCTCGTGGGTCCCTTCTGACTCGGGAGATTCCAGTGATTCCATGGGTGTTTTATGTGATATTTGTGCTTTATTTTCCGGCTGACACAAATTTATTCTGGAATATTTCCTTGCCCTTTGGTGCTGAGTTAGTGCAGGGGTTTAGAGCAGAGCCTGAGTCTCACTGGAGCAGTGCAGACGGGTGGCACGAGGCACTTTGCCTCCAGTGGAGTTCTGGAATGATCCAGGCAGGATTTGGAGGACACTGAGCCACAGCAAACAGCTACCAGCTCACAACTGTGCTCCTCTGATGGGTCTCTGTTTTACCTCGAGGTCTTTGGGGGTTTTATTTGACCTGCCACCCTTATTCCCCAAATTTCTCCTGCTTGCTGAGAGCTCCATGGGGTGGAGCTGCCACAGCTCAGGGGTTGGTGGGGGATGTTCCTCCAGCAAGAGCAGATTTCCTGGCTGGCTGAGTCCTTTCCCCAGCTCCAAGGGTTTGGGCACAGTGGCTGTGGGGACGAGGGATGGACCAGCACTGCCTCCTTCCCTGGAGACACATCTCCTTCCCCTGGAGCCTGGAAAACTCCAGGTGTCCTCAGGGCTGGTTGGAGTGTGCCCTGTTCCCTCTGAGGGCTGAGCAGCAGAGCAGGAGCACAGACAGACCTTCAGCTCAGGAACCTGACTGGGGGTGTTTTTAGTCCTGACTCAGAGCTGAGCTCAGCCCTGAAACGCTCCAAGGGGGAGGAAGGGAAGAGTTCAGTGGGTCTGTGGATCTTTCCTGGTGGAGAACAGCAGGAAGCAGCAGCTCTGCAGGGGTGTTTCTTCCCCCTTGGAAGCACAATCAGGGACCTACGAAGTTCCTTCCCTTTTTATTTTCTTATTTTCCAGTAAACAACTCTATTTATTCTCTGTTTCCTTTTTTCCCTGTGAATTACAGGAATCCAAAGCACACTCAATTCCAGGGAAAATAACCATAGAGCCCTGATATTAAAGATGGAAACATTACAATTAGTTTTTCTTCTTAACAGAGCGACACAAAAATGCTTTAAATGGAGGGAAACACTTTTATTTGCCAGTGAAAACTGAAATAGGCACTTCCCACCCCTGGTTTCCAGAGCTCTTTTTGCCTTCTGAACACGAAGAAAATGGGCAAATTGGGAGTGACCCACCACGGGGGAGAGGGCTGGGAGCTGATGCTTAAAATCAACCAGGAGCTGCCCCATCTGGGGACCTTCTCTGCTCTTTGTGATGGAAATTGGGGACTCTGCATCCTGGGGGCAGCTGTGATTTTAAAAAACCTGGCCAGAACGACATGAAAGCTCCAGCAGAGCCCATTTCCCCCTGCTCAGCTGAGGAGGTCAGACTGGGAGCCAAAAGGCTCCTTTTTCATCTTTTTATTATGTCTCTCTTTTTTTTTTTTTTTTTCTTCCTGAGGGGACCCAGATGCCCCGAGCAGGGAAGATTAATATATATAATTTTAATGCTTAATTTGAGATGGAAGGCTGGGATGGACAGTGTGGCTCCAGCTGTCAGCAAGGAGGGGACTGGGCCTCTTAATGGCACTTTCCTGGGGTGCTTTTTGATTAAGTGTGTTGGGGGGTGTTTAACTAAACAGGTCTGTGGGGGCTGGAGGGGAGGGAGGGAGGGAAAAAGGGACCAGGAGAGGTTGGAGGTGCAGGAAGGTCAGTGCAAGCAGCTGAAGCAGGAACCTTTCCAACAGCATCTCCCCATCCCTGCTTCTCTTCCCAGCTCTTCCTGAGAGATGGGGGGTTTCCTCAGGCACCACAAGTGGATGAGTTGCAGGAAGGAAAAAAAAAAAAAGGTGTCTCTTTGTGCCGTGAGTTGGGAACTGAGCCCTTCACCCTCCCCCGGAGGAGGGGGCTCCGTGCAGACCTTTGGTGCTGCCGGTTCCCAGCTGGAGGAGTTTGTGTGGAACAGACTCGTCGGGAAGCAATTAGTGCTGAGCTGCTGCAGCCAGACTGGGAGAGGGAGGGAGCGGAGCCGCTGCTGGCTTCGGCACCTGGGGAGGGGGAGCTGATAACGGGAGGGGGAGCTGATAACAGGAGGCCTTGGCAGCGCCGGGAATCGCTGGGAGCTCCTGGAATAGCTGAGTGACTGCCTTGGTGTAACTCTGCAGCAAAGGAAACAACCCCCCCGAGCTGCTTTTGGGCCAGGCTGGGGGACTCCTCCATTGATTAATGGGACTCCTCCATTAATTAATGGACTCCTCCTTTAATTGTGGCCCCTGTTCCTGCAGCAGCTCCACGATCTGCTGGGATAAAGCTCTGGGATAAGTATTCTTGTCCCCCCTTTCCCTCTCCTTTCTGCTTCTCCTCTGCAGGTTCTCTCCACCCCCCAGCCCAAGCCAGCAGGCTGGGAAGGTTCCCCTGCAGGGCAGGACGTGGGGTGTTCTCTCCCCGGGCTGTTCCCAGCAGCTCCTGCCTGTTTGTCAGCCCGGACCCATTTGTCTCCCTGATTTCTGCCGAGTGCAGCCCGTTTAATGAGGGTTCTTGGGCAGGGATTCATCCCAGTCCTGGCTGCTCCCTGCTGGGATCTGTAATGATGCTGCCCCTGCCCTGGCAGAGCCCTGGGCAGCAGAAATCCCTGAGCTCATGACACGAGTGAGGAGAGGAGTCTCTGCAGCTCCTTTTCCCTTTCCTTTTCCTTTTTCCTTTCCCTTTTTCCCTTTTTTCTTTTCCCTTTTCCTTTTTTGTTTTCCTTTTCCTTTTTCCTTTCCCTTTTTCTCCTTTTTCTTTCCCCTTTTCCTTTTTCCTTTCCCTTTTTTCCCTTTTTCTTCTTCCTTCTCCTTTTTCCTTTTCTCTTTTTCTCTTTTTCCTTTCTCTTTTTCTCTTTTTCCCTTTTTTCCTTTTCCCCTTTCCTTCTTCCCTCCTTTTCTGTGCCTCACTTACCCCCTCTGATAAATCACCAGCACCAGAACTGCCCCAAACAAGCCGCTCTTGGTCTTAATTTGACTTGTACCTGTGCAAACCCCGAGCTGTGGGGTCTGCAGAGGGATTTTCCTGCCACCACCCGGCCCTGAACTTGGCCTTTCTCATCCTCCAGTGGGAACCCTTCGCTGTCCCTCCCTCCTGTCCTTCCCTCGGGGGTTTCCCGGGATTTCCCTGCAGTTCCATAACCTGCCACTGCCTCTTCTGGCTCCACAGCTTTGGAGGATTCCCCCAGACTGGAGTTGGGGAATTCCTGGAGAGCTGCAGAGGGGCCTGGGAACGACAGTTCCTCCCTCATCCTGCCCTGTGCCAGCAGGAGCCTTTGGCTGCTCTTCCCACTTTATTCCAGCTATTATTTTTCATAGAAAAAGAGAGGTTTCCTTGCTTTGTGCAGGTGGGCTCGAGGTGTTACCACATTTCCATTACGTTTATTTTTCTTTGCCTGGTTGTTAAAACACTCCTGTTGTTTGCTAAACACAGGGAGCCTCCTCCCCTCATCCCAGAGCTGCTCATCCCACCCTGGGAACCCACCTGGGCTTTTCCCTCTTTGCTTCCAGGGCTGGGGAATAACTGGGATGGGTTACTCTGGATATACACAACAGGCATCACTCTGGGAGACCAGGGGGTTTGTGGAATCATGGAATCATTAAGGTTGGAAAAGACCTTCTAAGATCCTCAAGTCCAGTGATCAGCACTAAACTCCATTCCCGAGTGCCACATCCACATGTTTTTTGGACATTTCCAGGGATTCTGACTCCAGGGCAGTCCCTGGGCAGCCTGTAATCTCTCAAATGCTCCCCAAGACTTAGGACACAGCAGTTTAAAATGGTTTAAAAGGGCAAGGAATTGGCATTTAACGTGGAAACTGTGTCAGGGCCTTGGCAGGGCTCAGTCCTGCAGCTGCAGCCCTTTGCCAGGTAATTCTGGGGGCTGGGAGTGTTGTCCTTTGGGAAGGAGGGAGGGAGAGGCCCCTAAAAGCACCCTTGGGATCAACCCAGCAGCAACAGGAATCAACCCTCATTAACTTTGGTCGACTGCTTTACTGGGAGGCAGAGATTTCAACAGGACCATTATTCCCAGCCCGTTCAGGGAGTGGTGCATTCCATCTTTTCCCCTCAGCATCCCTGTGCTTTGGGCTGGGCAGCAGCTGTTGAGCCTGAAAGCCAGACCAACCTCTGGGCTGGATGTCAGTCCTGCAGCCCCAGGCTGAGCCTGACATTTGGGCTGTTTGAACTCTGTGTGCAGGGAGAGGAATCTGAGCCCAGATCCTCCTCACTGTCCCAGTGGTGGCTTCCTCAAGTCTCCAGTTCTTGTTTCAATCATGGAATACACTTTTCCCTCCTCCTTTAAGCCCCTCTATTGAACTGGGATTTACTGACACCTCCATTTTTAGGCAGAGCTACTTTTTTTTTTTTTTTCCTAGAAAACTATCTCCTTTTCCCTTTTTCCCCCAGACAGGAAGGAAAGAAGCAAACAGGGTCACGACACCACCCCAAAAACCCGTGGGATATGGGGAACATTGAAGTTGCACCTCAGAGCAGCTGAGACAAACCCCAGGCTGGGGCAGAGATCAATCCTCCCCTGGCTTTAGCTCCTTGGGCTGGTTGCTGCAGAATTTGGCTCATGTTATGGGGAAGAAAGAGTAAATCCTGTCCCATAACTCCTCAGAGATGGTGTGGAACGTGCTGCTCACTGAACTCTCAGTCCCCGTCCATCCTCCCTGTCCCCCCCCAAAACCAATTCACTGTACAGAGTTAAAAAAAAAAAAAAAAAGTCCAATTTAGCAGTCTGGTTATCTCATACATGGCTTCATAAGGCAGAAAACCTACTGGGTGCCGTGTGGGGAGGGGGCAGTTGGCTGCAGAATTCCCAGGGAATTCTTCCTTTCCTCGTCCCTTTAAAAAAGTTTCATCGGTCAAAGGGCCGCGTCTCTCGTAGGAAACCCCACGTTCCTCCAAACCAAAAAAAAAAGCTGTT